TAGTCGTGTTGGTAACTGTTCTGTCTTATCCCCCGATGCAGCTCCGTTTGTACCTCCGGTTGTGACTGATGTTAGTGACCATGGTTCTCCGGTGGTGGTGCCGGAGGTGGTTTTTGATGCAATGAATGTGGTGTTTTCTGATGGCTCGCCAGTTATGGGTGTTGTGAATTCTAATGGGGGTGTTCAAGGTTCAAAAGATGCAGATGGTGGTTCTGATAGTGTTTTGCCTGTTGCGGTGGTGCCGACTGAAATTGAGAAGGGAAGAGAGGAAGTTAATCTGATTACCAACAGTTTAGTTGTGGTCCCTGTGAGCGTGGTTGATTTCCAGGAGATGGCCAATTGTGTGGGTAATTCTTCTGGTTTGGATAGTAGGAATCAGAATAATTGTTTGGTTGATTCGTCGGATGTGGAGTCGGATTCGCAGTCTGTTGAGTCCGACAATGATTTTACTCTTGTGCGTAATTCAAAGGTTGGCTCTCGCGGAAAATTTTGGGGGAAAGGTCGACGCAGGAGATGATTTCTCGTTTCGTATGTTTGTTGATTCTTGCTGCTTCTTCTCGGGATTTGGCGGAGTTAGTGTTTGTTCTGCTGCTACGTGAGGCTTTGGGTTATGATGTGCTTGGGGTTCAAGTCATGGTTCTTCTTTGCTGGTGGTATTTGCTTTCTGGAGGTTCCTTTCGGATCTCACTGGACGCTGATAGCTTTGTCTTTGGTCTGAGCTCGCTTTTAGTTTCTAATTCTCTCTGTCGTTTTTTGTATCTGCTAGTTTTTCTTTTTATGCTGATGTAATCTTTATTTTTGTGTTATTAATATATTTTCTATTTAATTTAAAAAAAAAAAATAAAGACCAAGGACTTTGTTTGTTCAAAATGAAGTTTGGAGAAGGGTATTTGTTTGAATTCCAAAACTAAATATCGAAAAGCAGCGACTAAAAAAGGTTGTCAAGCTATGATTTATAGTAGATGAAGCTAGAAATTGGAATATCAAAAAAATTATTAAAAGTAATAATCATGATTTGTTGTCGCATCAATCATCTCATTGGTCTTCATTTCGTGCTTTCTCCTTGAAGGGATGAATTCACTAATGGTAAAATCATGATTTTGAAAATCGGATAGAATCGGGCGGTTAAATCACGGGCCAGTCATATGTAAGAACTCCCCCTATATCAAACTGGTAACAACTGATTAGAACCATTAGGTTGATTAGTGAAACATTAAACTAGTCCAAGTTTCTTAAAGCAGGCTAGTTCCATTACTACCACATTTAAATAATTAAATAAGTTAATTTAATAAGTTTAGAATGAATATTAAAATTAAAAGTAAATAAATAAAATTTAACATATTTTGATTCCCCGATGAACAGTTAATTCTTATATATAATAATCATTTATCAATGACGAATTAATCAAATATTTTTTCATGACCCCACAACTTTCGAGTTCCTAACACATGCATTATAAACCAAAATATATATTTCTTTAATTAATGTTTATACAATGAATAATATTTAATTTATAATTATTTAATGTCACGCCATTAAAAATTAAATGTGGATTATAATTAAGTATATAACATAAATCGGCAATAATTTATATTAAATTTATAAGCTTACATGTAAACTAAATTTTAAATTGAAAGTGTTTACATTTAAAATTGCTAAATATTATTTGATTTTGTCTAATTTCTTTGCAAGAATTATACTTTTAAAATTTCAAGCATTTGTTAGGTCATTTTATTTATCGGCAATAATCTATTGACCCCATGATCTCATAATACAAATGAGTTTATATTGATGATAGCAAATATCAGCTCAGAGGTCTTAATTCTTTACACAAAGACATTGTAGGAGTTGGTGAGTGCATGAATTTTAGACTTTGTTAATTTTATAACATTTTCAAATGCTAAATTTTAGCTCAAAATAAGTCAATAGATGGGGGAGAGTATTGGGTTCGGACACCTGACACAACTTACGTTCGGTATTCACAGTACTGAGCTCGGTACTATGAAGTACTGATTACCGAGCAGTACCAAACTCGGTACTGCTCAGTACCGAGTAGTAGGTGATGTAGCATAATTTTTCATTGGGCTCCGAACACATCCGTTGTCCGAACCCAATAATTTGCACAATAAATGCCTCAATTTTTCAATAATCGACAGTGAAATAAATTACTTGTGAAAATCTCTCAAATTAGTCCATATTGTTAGACAAATTCAGCCATTTGTATTTTACATTTTATTAATTCGTTTTACACTTTTACTTTACACGTGTAGTACCGGTACTGGCTCCCTTTATTAAAGCCTACCGATAGCTGTCTATATATACAGACACTGTACTTTGGTAATTAATGAGAATTCTATTTTTCGTTTCTTTCTTCGTCTTCTTCCTCCGTCCCGTACTAGCTCTTTCCTTCGCTCATTTCAAGCTTTCACATATCACCTAATTAGAAGTTTTCATTTTGCATTTTCATACTTAAATTTACAAACAAACTGAAGAGCAACAATACAAACTTTGTGTTTCTACAATTCCAAAGCTTCTACAGGCAAAAACCCCAAATTCTCCATCCTCCTTTTCCCCCTTTTTCTTCTTAAATTATTGTCCGTTTTCCCTTATTATCTCCCTCTAAATTATCACAGAAGTACGGTAATAAATTATACTCGCATGAACCATATCAAATAACAAAGATAACTCTATAAATTTGGTTTCCTGTAGTAGATCTTTACCCTTCCTAGACTTCATCAAGCTGTCTTGCAGTAAATTAGTCAGAGAGCTGCCAGGCTACAATGTTCTGAGGCAACAATACTTCACGATTCTGTGAAGAGATTTCGATCCTGGCCCGTTACTGCTACCATCTGAACTTCTTGAGTGAGTTCTTTTTGCATGACTTCGGACACAATGTTTTGGTGTATTTCCTTGAGAATAAACACTATCTGCAAGCATATGTTTTTCGTCAGTTGGATGACCATTATGGCATGCAATTAAACCTATAATCATAGATATTTAGTTTAAGATTAGGGGTGCAACTGAGTCGCGAGCCGGCTTGGATTCAACACGGTAACATGCTCGACGAGTCGAGCTTATCGAGCTCGCAAGTCGATCTCGAACACAATTTCAAGCTCCAAGGCTTATCGAGCTCGAACATGCCTCAGACTCGATGAGCAGCTTGATGATAGAGCTCGCGAGCGGTAAATCCTAATCCGCGGAGCTCACGAGCGGGAAATCCAAATCGACGGAGCGGGAAATCCAAATTCACGTCCGTCATTTTTCGACTACGAGCTCCGGTCTTCGTGACAACGTCGCCGGAGTTCAGGAAGACAACGAAGAAGATGTGGACAACGACGTCCGTCATTTTCAACTACGAGCTCGGGTCCTCGGGACGACGTCGCCGGAGTTCTAGAAGACGATGGACGTGATGATGAGCTCGGGATGAAGGATATCGACAGCGGAGGTCGGGAAGATGGATGCGACAACAATGACGGTCTGAGTCCAAATCGACGGAGCTCGCATGCAGATCTCGCCAGAGTTTGGGAGACAGCGGAGCTCGAGACTGAGGTCGACGAGCTGCTTGACATGAAGACGAGTCGAGCTCGAGCTCGGTATTAGATAGTCGAACTCGACTCGAACAACCCCTGGCTCGAGCTCGACTCGACTCGACTCGTTTGCACCCCTATTTAGCATATAACTAATGATCGAGTTAATTGATTTGCTAAATACAGAAATAGGACTTACCGGATGGCTGTGAAGGATTGATAACCACATTCACTGGCTTTGCAGATGTGGAGACGCAACAATTGTAATCCTTGTGCTCTTCTTGCATGTTCTGGCTACTTGCACTCCCAAGGCATCGCAACAGCTCTTCAGAATTGAAATACTCGTTTGAGTGGAAAGATATGTTGCTGGAATTGTTTGAACTAGACGAAGCTGAGCCTGGATCACAAAGGTCATTTAGCTCCAGATAATCGTCCATCGGGAATCCGAAATATGCATGGGAGTCTGATGAAGAAAAACTGTTCTGATCCTCGAGTGCAGCAACCTCGTTGCTATCAGCAGCAGCTTGCACAATCTCGTCACTACCAGTAAAAGGCTGCACAAGAATGAAATTACGTTCAGTGGACAGAATCTGAAATTTTTGTGTTTGGAGGGAGAACTTATTCTTTGCAGAGTCCGCACAGAGTCCGGACAGTAAAGAACCGTCTGGATGTTAGTGTACACAGTATGTATACTTAGTATAATTTTGTACACAGTTTAATTTTTATTTTATACACAATGTGTATAAATATTGAGTACACTCGCATCTAGGCGGTTCTTTACCGTTTGGACTCCGCACGGAATAATTTCTCGTTTGGGGGGGTGGGGTGATGGATCTTTGGAGACTACTAAGATGTTAAATTATTTCTATCACCACAAAATTTCCACTACATAATAATCCTCATAATCTTCATTCCTTTTATGAGAGATCAAATACATAAAAGCCTATAGCTTTTAGGCCTGAATTGGTTGCTTGAAATTAGGAAAAAAAATTAAAAATAATAAAATTTGTTAAACCCATCATTTGACTAGGTTTAATTAGAAAATGAATGACAACAAAATCATATTTTTCTAAACCATGTCTACTATCTACAAACAACATGAGCCCTTAGGGTAATTAGATCCATCATCATTAGTTAGTTATTTATTGAAAAATATAAAAATGGTAGACAAACATTATCCATAAATTATAATTGGATTCCCTGAGGGGGTTTGCTGCAAGGATGAAGATTTTAACTGTAGCATTTGCATCAGAATTATTTTGCAATATATGAGTTCCTTTGGATTTACATTAATCCCGATGCAAATTAAAAAGTTGAAAAATAGATCTAATGAAGAAAATACAAAAAAAAAGTACCTGAGATCTATTTTGGGCATCAGTTGATAAGCTGCTCTCTTCATCTTCTACAAATCTCATCAACAAGCTTTCTACGTGCAGAACATCATCATCATCACATGAACTAGAAGGGTTGAGCTGCTCCTCATTGGGTAACTTAAAATCACAAATTTTTGAAGTTTTTTCATTTTGCAAGAACACTCTACACATTAACTGGTAGTCCTGCAAATAACTCCACTTAACTTAATGAATGCAAAATGATGAAATAATGTCAAAACATTTTGATAAGATAGGTACCTGTGAAAAATTAGATTCAGGGTACGACTTCTGGTCTCTATGGTACTCTTGCATCTTCCAACCAGTTCTATTTCCAAAGGGTTCTAAGCCAACGTAAAATTCCAGTGTTATTTTACCGCCAACAGTGGCAGCATCTTGAAAAATTGTGATCTCGTCCATGGGCTTCCAATATCCAATTCGTTTGACTTTAATGTTTCTCCATTCAGTACATGACTGGTAATTATTATAATTGTACAAATACCACATGCCCTCTGTTAAGAAGCAACTTATGTTAGCATGTTTATGAGTCCTTGAAGGTTGTCAGCTTTAACAGACAAAGATGATAAAGATGATAGCATCTTTTTCTGTTTATTATAGAAGGATACAAATCTTCTCCAATCACCATGGTAAGTGCACAATGTAATTACCCAATCTCAACAATGCAATCCACTCTACTTCGAGGGTTGAGATTTTTGATATAATCTTGGACACTCAAAATAGATTGTATAGCAAAGATAGAAATGGATTATATAATTAATCTTGGACACCCAAGATAGAAATCTAACATATTTCATGCTAAATTTAAATTTAGGAGAAAAATCTCAAAGCTTCGAAGTAGGAGGCGAGGTAAATGATTATAACAAGCTAGTTTAGAAAAACAATAAAATCACGCAAAAGCTACCAATTTTAAGCAATTACTCCAGTCCACAATTCATAAAACTGCATAATAACAGAGGATGGTAGGGTTTTGTTACATTTCCTGCTGTGAAAGGGAGCCAGCTGAACCCAGCGGCTTTTCTGGGTAGGAGTCTTTCATTCAGTTCAACAGAATCAGACCTAGTAGACATGGAGGGGGGTTCGGCACCCCTTGTGGGGCCCAGAAAATATTTAACTCAATATGTAAGAAAGAGAAATAAATGGAGAGAGATTTTGGAAGGTTTTTAATTTATTTTTTTAGGGGGGGAGGATTGATTTAAGAAAGAGATCAACATCAAATTTAAATTGGGGAGGGAATCAATTAAGGAAAGGGGATGGTTTATGAGGGAATTTGAGGAGCCTATTTAGGGCAAATTATAATGTATTTTAAGTTTATGCAATTTGTTTTCTGCTGTAGCTTTTCTTTGAGAGTTTCGTAGCGGTGTCTAGGGTTTGTGAGAGAGCCAATCTACTTCTTGAATACTAGATCAATTGCATCTTTTGTTATTTGCCGAAAGAGTAATAAAAAATCAGCCCTTATATTTGTGTTCCTGCAATTTCTTCTTTTCTATTTGTTGTTTTTGCTTCTAATACGCATCATGTTTATATAAATAGATAAAGGCACACGTGAGATTACGAATGCGGTTGAGACGCATTTCTTTAGCTTAATACTATCAATTTTTCAAACTACCAAGAATAGTCATTATATGGAAAAAATTGTTACATCTGTAGGAAAATACTAAAAATACTACAAAGTTGGCTCTAAAATGACACTGAATAATCAAAGAGAGGAAGTACTACATATTAAGGTATATGGTCAATGATTCTGAAATTAAAACTCTTGTAAGGATAACCGCCAAACTTGTTATAGATACAACTGAGGAAAAACTTTATATGGAAGAAGGACATCAGCATAAAAGGTAAGAGAAATGATTTTTAATTGAAAAATCCCGGCAGAAAAAAAAAACTGTTATAAAGTAAGAAAAACAAAAACAAGAGTGATAGTAGTAAGCGCCAGTCTTAGAGACAAGAAGAACCAGTAATACCTAATGAAGGAGAAAAGGCCATCATACCACACGAACCAACTAGGAGATTCCAGGATAATTATGCAAGACCAAGGAAAGTCTTACAGAAGAGAAACTAAGGCAAGTAAGTAATCTCAAAATAGATATATCTGCCCGTAGCAAATTGAGGTCAATTATCCATATATAAAGAGAATGTCCAAAAAAAAAAAAAAAAAAACAGATAGGATTGTTAAGGAAGATAACAGCGGCAAATAGAAAGGTAACATGTTATACTGATGAAGCATATAAAGGCTTTGAATACAAATGATTGGTCGGAAGGTTCGGGCCCGATGAAATATTGGATACCACACAACTCTCCTTGGCCTATTGGTTGAGAGCTTAG